AACCTTTAGATATTAAACAATGGAGACAAAAATTCCTCTTGTGATCACAGACTTTATTCTGCACGAAGATGAGCATCTGCATCCTATTCAAGCAAAGTGCTTATAGCACGCTTTGTGTGCAACATATATACCATCCTTTTTGTTTCAGTGCCAGTTCCTAGGTGCTTAAAATTTAGTACGAGCTTGTTTGCTTGGTACCTCTTGAAACAGGAAGGACCCAGTTGCCCAGAAGCAGATGTTGTGAAAACTGGTAGTTGAGAAGATTATGAAGCTAATAATAGCTATAGACACATAGAAAACACGAGTGGTTTCTTCAGTTCTGTCTGTTTAATAAAGTTTTGCGTGCATTTGCTTTCTCAGATGGAGAAGGATGCTGCAACCCACACTTGGCAAATGGGAATAAAGTGACCAAAAAGAGGAAGTGTTGCCAAGCTGGAGATTTCAAAAGCTTTAACAAAGAAAACACCAGAGAAAAAACCAAAATGCTGAGCAGGCAATTTTGTAACAGACATTTAGCATCAAATTAACAGAAGAGTTAACTGTGTAACATCTGGATTTTTGTTTTTGAGGCAGGAATTGTCCTTGCCTGACCCTCTTATGATGACCCCCTGAGGTTGTCAGATCTCTCTGTACATTTAACTAACATCCTCTGGAGAAGAAAACAGACTGCACACCTTGAAGTGCTAAAAATTAACTGTGCAATAACTGCACAGAAATGCCAATGCAACAGTTCAAATGGCAATTTTGAAGTTAAGCTACTTAATAGTGTATCCCAAAGTTGCCAGTTAACATTTTCAAATGTGCATTGTGATTTTTGGGTGCTTTAGTTTTTAAATAATACGAGTGACTCCTAACATCATGTCTCTATGGTACCTTCAATATAGAACCTAAAAGCTGAGGCTAATAATTCTGGTGCTGTAAGCTGTGTGCATGTCCAGCAACATGGAAGTTAAAAAAAATTACTGCCTGTGCAAAAGTATTTTAAAAATCAGAAGCGGAACTAAAAAAATTACAAAACAGATTCCCTCCAGATGCAAAGAAGGATGATGGAAATTATATTTAACAGACCCTCTGAGATGCAGAAATACAGCTGTGTGAAATGGTTGTTGGCTTCTGCAGGGAAGACAGGACTCAGGAGCTGTCTTTCTCAGGAAAACATAAATAGAATAGACATTCTAAAGCTGCTCAGAAGTAAATGCAGGGTAACCTATTAATGAGATACTGGTCTTAAATATTTTCTGCTTTATCTGTCCCAGCATTACTGGTCATTCATGTACAAAACTGAACCAGTTCCTTGCAAATTACTACAGTCAAGTATTAAGTCCTCAGTATATTAAGTGCTACTGGAAAAAAAGTGGACAACTAATTTACCCTTATTATAAGCTAATGTGGAAAGATGCCAGGCTAGTCTGGAGGAGTCATAAAACCACAGCATGCATTGGGATCAAATGCCTGATGGTGGCTTGGTATTTGTTAATTGGCAGGTAGGTTGGCGTCCCATCTGGCTTAGATTAGCATTGCTCCGCTGACCCAAGTGGGGTGCAGCAGCTGAAGACCCAGTGCTGTGTAAAGAGGTTGGAAATATTCAATGAAGTGACCTCAGCACCCGTTCCTTGGTGGCAGGCTGTGCTCACAGACCTGGCTGGTGTGCCAGGGGCTGGTGGAGCAAGCAGGGCTAGGCTGCCACCAACAAGGGCACCCACAGAGGGCAAGTGTGACAGGGACCGTGGCAGTGGCCAGGGACAGCCATGGCCCACCTGTCATCCTCTCACAGCTCTTCTCCCAGGAGCTGATCCAGGGCTGGCATTAACACAGGGCTGGCACAAACACAGGGCTGGTCAGGTGCACTAGCAGCCAGACTCTTCAGTGCAGGGAGGAGACTGCAGAGCTCATTGGGTTCTTGGGGCTGATAGTGGTTACTAATTATGACAGGCTGAAACTTCTCAAATGAAGATGAAATTCTTATCTTTTTTTTTTTTCTTTTTTTCTTTTTCTTTCCTTTTTTTCTTCCCACTTATGCAATCAGTTGTTTCACCATCTGTGGAAAAGAGAAGCCTATAGCAGCTAGTGGTGCAAATTGTTTTAGCACCTGAAGGGCAACCACTTTCCTCTCTCCTCTTAACAGCCAAAAAGTTTAGCACCAAGAGTCGCTGCAGAAGACTCAAGGTTGAGTAGTGGTCTTATACCCTTCAAAATTGTCAGTTCTTCATGCTTGTGTTGGCTGTCCTGACCTGCAAGAAAGCTTGTGAACAATCTGCCATTGTCTATTGCTGCTGTTAGCTCTTGCTGAGCACTTGGAGCAGCAGTTTCACGCTGTTCTACCTGATCTCTGTTTCTATTGATTAGTTTCCTTCTAAGTGAGAACACAATTAGTCTGTTTTCAGTAGCTGGTTGTATTTAAGTTTCCCTATGGGGACTGTCTAGAACAATTGCAGAGAACTTACTTTTAACTAGGCTTAAAATGTTAATTTACTTCTACAGTCATTACATGAGGGGGGGGGGGGGGGGGGGGCTGGGGTGGTCCTCCCTTCTTTTCCTTGCCCTTAAGAGTAACCATCAACATCAAACTTCCAAGATTCTTACTCCTTATAAGTTTGTATTTCATCACTACTAACGACATAAACATTTGCAAGCAGTCTTTTGCCTTCCAAAAATCTTCTTGGCAAAGGTTAACTACAAAAAACACACTTAGTGACAAACACATATGGATCCAACACGCAGAGGGCAGAGCGCACAGAGTTCCCCAGTACCCAGGGCTTGAACGTGCTTAAACAAGGTGCTTTCACAAGATGCTGTTAACATGCTAAGGCTGAACCTCCAACTCAGGCCTCCCCTCAGTGCTGCTTTGCTGCCAGGCTGTGATCAGCAAGACGTAGTTTATTTTCCAGCCCACTCCAGTCTTGCTGGTGTGGCCACAGCTTTCTCTCCCAGCCATGAGGCTGATCCCGGCCCTCCCTGAGCTTTTGATCAGGCAAGGACGACAAAACACACACATGAAGGCAGGACAAGTGGGATGACTAAGAACATCAAAAGAGAAGAGGATGAAAGCTGTACAAGGATAATTCAATAGGCACCTGAAGACAAAACCAGGGCAAGATTTCTACCTGCAATACAGCAGCGTTTCCTCCTCCAGGTTTCACTAGTGCCGGCCCTTTTTCAAACTTGCCTTCTGCAAGCACTGCAGCAGGCTTCCTGCTTTTTTTTTGGTGGTGGACCTTTCCCCAGGGGCCAGCCAGTCTGGACCACAGCGGCAGCCTCACGGCAGCCGGGCCGGGCTTGGCTCCCGCCGGCGTTCCCGGGGAGCTGGCCCAGGTGGGGTGTCACAGTGCCAGGGGGTGCGTGGGCAGCATCCAGTGCCGCGGGAAAGGGCAGAGAGAGAGGCTGACCCGACCTGGGGAAGTCTTCAGTGAGAACAAAGTACCCTGCAGGGAGGGAAAGGCTGACCTTGTAAAACTTGGCTCAGCACCCTGAGCTCTTTGTTCCTCTTAATTTTACCTTTGCCCGTGCAGGAATGAGAACGGTTTCCCAGGACTCCAGAAGCTGCGTGTCTATAGCAAAACTTTGCCTCTTGGGTAGTTTGCTTGTGCACTGCGAAAGCTTAATCTGAAAACAAGAACCCCAGCTAAGCAGGTAAGGAGCTGCTTGCAAGACTCTTTGTTCTGCCTGCAAAACACGACCAGCGTATTTCTGTTTCGAATCAATTGCTTTTCTAATCCCTTATTATTTTACGACAACTGAAATTGCCTGGCTGGATGCCAAGATATATATGAATTACTAAATGGTTCTTACATGTTATTCTGTGGTCTATCCTCTGTTTTGAAATAAACTGCCTACTAAACAAAGTTAGTTGTCTTGTGTTTCTGATTACATACGAATGTGGATTTTGAGAAAGGGAAGTGGGCATGGGAGGAAAGTAAGAAATTGTAAATAGAAAAATGTTGAGGTTAGTTTGTCTTCTTTCTGTAATACACACAGCAACAGAGATACTGAAATTTCCTTCCTCTCCTGCCTGGCATTATCTGGGCTTGCCAACACGGGGCTCTAGTCCAGCTGCTTTACACAGAGCTCCAGGGCGCTGCCGGGGATGATGCTCCATGTGAAATCCCCTCTTCCTCCTGTACTTTTCACATTCCCTCCTCACAGCTGCACCCAGATGAGGCGGTGGGACCCCCTGGGAGGCCCGTGGGCTTTGCCAGCAGCCGGTGAGCCTACAGGGCAGGTCTTGCCCTCGCAGGTACCTCACACCTCGCACCCTCCCGCGCCCGCAGCTCCCGGGCTGAGGATGCGCCGCTCCAGGGGCTCATTAGCTGGGGAGGTGAGGAGGTCCCTGCATCCGGCATCACGCGTCTGTGCCCGGGTCCTGGCTGCCTTTTGTTCTGCTTCCTGTTTTACAGGTGCGGCGATCTTCCAAAAGCTTAGGTTTCCCTTCGTTTTTTGCCTCTCGCGTAGAGGGCACGCGGGGCGCTGATGAAGGAACAAAGAACACGCAAAACGTCTCGCACCTCCCCGTCGGGGAATCGAACCCCGGTCTCCCGCGTGACAGGCGGGGATACTTACCACTATACTAACGAGGAGCTGTACACGAAAGGAGCTCCCCGCAGCCGCCAGATGGTTCCCCTGCCCCCCAAGCCGGGCGGCGGCCCCGCCC